TACTGGGTCAAAACATCAGAGAATTAATCACATTTCTCAAGATGAGTCCGAGTGTGGTCAAGACTACCATCAGATGGCAGAAACCGAAACCGAAGATATTGTAATCGATGCTGAGGATGAATTTGACCAGTTTAATTTTTTAGGCACAACCCCCTGCTACCATTTATAGAAATAAAAGTGGCAGGGAAAATCATAAAATTGCTTATTGATACAGGGGCTTCGAAGAATTATATCAAACCTATAAAAGGTTTAAAAGGTATTATTCCCGTAGACAACCCGTTAATAGTGAAATCTGTTTATGGTTCCACAGCAATTTAGGAAAAATGTATCATAAATATTTTTCAAACCAATCGTCATTTTTTATCTTACCATCAACGTTTGATAGTATGATTGGCCTGGATCTATTTACACAGACAGGTGCAACATTAAATTTTCAATGTAGGGAACTTAAAACTACAGTTGGAATCGAAAAGATCAAATTTTTAAAATGAATAAATGTAAATTTTACACAAGTTGAGCACATGCAAGTACCTCAAATCATTGCGGAAAAATTTAGGGAAATGATAAAAAAATTCGAGCGTTTTTCCAAACCTCAAGGAATCACTTCCATATAATATGAATATTGAAGCTACTATTAGAACTAATTCTAGTGATCCCGTTTGTACAAATATATACCCATATCCCATGGTGTAGCAGATTTTGTTAACAATGAAGTTAAATCAAAATATTAATTACTGATTGAAGATGGGGATGTTATCATTTGGCAGGACTTTGACTACTTAGGATATACAACAAATCTGACAATAGATTTGGAAATTGCGAACGAAACCGAAAGCTTATGGACCATTTCCCCTCCTCGCACATATTGAAAATACTCGAGTCTGATATTAAGCGAATACGTTTCCTCCTACAATCATTATATGTTCCCGAGCACTAAAAATAATAGCGGGGACTCACGATTTTGACGACTTTGAGGAATATAAATTTCGACAGAAGGAACTTATAACTTAAACTTATAATTCAATTAACAAGCAGGTTTCAATCAACTCAAAAACAAAGGATCAGATAAATAAATTAACAGATATTTTCAACAAAATTATTGGAAATGCAAGACTTGAACAAATTCATACAGGGTATTTATACGAAATACTACCTGCTCGAAACAGAATTACAATTGCAGAAATCGAAACAATTATGCTATCAGTCAATCTTGTAAAAGCAGGTATAATTAATCCTACACTATTAAATTCCGATGAATTATTGTAAATGAATTATTACAAACTGTAACAGACTTGTTACAAGTATCATTATTTAAGGTCCTACTGTATAATGAAATGTTGCATTTCATTATTAAATATACCAGACCCAGATTAGTATGTAAGAAAATAATTTTGCACCCCGTCTAACATAATGGCACCAACAGCGTAGCTAATTGTGGAAATCGTATAATTGCAATTGGAACCAACTTGTGCTCATCAACTTCATTCGGGTACTATAGCACACTGCAGCACAAGGGCAAGTCATCTTGAACCATTGGAGATTGTCGATAATGTGTCATGATAATAAATGACCACAGAGCCACTATAAAAAACCTAGAAGGAACCGTTGTAACAATTACCGGTACATATTTTATTAATGGCTCCATATACAAAGACCTGAACATGGTACTGAGGATGGTACCGACGTTGGCTACATCTACTATAGTTAATATAACAAGTCATCAAGAGATATTGAGCCTGCCGTGTCTTCAAAGATTAGATTTTGAAAACTTACAACACACCAATGACGTGAAGAACAGAACAATAACCGGTCCAGTGGTCTCCGGACTTATAAGCATTATATTAATCATCAGTCTTTATATTGCATTCATTGTATCAAAGACGAAAACAAAATGCGATGTTATTCAAGCCGTCATTGATAGCTACAAAAGGCCCGAGGACGGCCCTCTCTTAAGTGGGGGAGGAGTTAACACAATCTCCATTGGCCAACACCAAACATACGAGTATTTCATCATAGTTGTTTATCCAAAGTATTGCAATATACCTAAGTCTGTTTTTACACGATTTTGATATAACACGGTTTGAAAATTGAAAGTTTTTTTTTTTTAAACTGAGTATTTTTAATTTTTTTACACGATTTTATTCCATTTAGCACGATTTGAAATTTTATGTACTTAATTTTTTTTTGTCAAGTTTAATTTTTGCGAAGTATGTTCATATCACAAAAAAGTATTTATGAAAGAAAAAAATATGAAACCGTCGACAGTTTCGATAGTTTGCGAACACTAGCTTAAAGATTTAAGTGAATTCCCCTTTAGCGCTTACAAACAATTTTTACTTGTCAAAGCAAATGTGAATAGCACTAATTTAGGGGAATTCCCTTTTTTACACGGCTTCTTCTGGAACCAATCTACCGTTTAAAAACAGACTTACGTGTATAATACTCTACAAGATGCGCAGAGTCAGCAGTAGTAAACAATAATTATAAGTCCATTCATAGCTTTAACTAATTTAAAAAGCTTTGTTTGATAAGAGAACTCAAATAAAGAAAGTGTAACAACACCACACAAAACACAAATACTTAATTTAAATAATTGGTCTGTTCCAGTTCTTTTTTAATAGTAAAGCTTGAAAAGGGAAAAATTTCAAAATCGCGCTCAAAGTACAAAATAATTTAACAAGTTCGGGAAAGCAAATCTAGTAAAAATGCCTAAATTAGATGGCAATACTTCAAAATCATCATAACAGCAATCAGAAGTAGGCATTCCTGTTTACCATTTTTACTCGGCCAAATTTCTCGAGTAAAAAGTTTACAAAGAGAACGCTCCCTTAAATTTTAATCAATGTTTTGCCAGTTTTGTGGGTTCAGGAACGGGTTTTGAGTAAAAAGTTGCAAAACTTGTCAAATTAGTAGATTCTTTTGGGTTCTGGAACGGAACTAATATTATTTATATAGTTTGTAAACATGTTCCCAGGCGCAGGGGCTTTTATTTGTAAATTTGTATAAATTTGTAAATAAATAATATTAAACAATCATTTCCTCTCATACTATTTAGACACATGGATGTCTGAATCCGTCCCCTTAAAAACCTATCGAGATCTTTCTAAAGCGAAACAGATAATTTGTCTTTAACACTTTGCTCCCATAACGTTTGTGTAATTAAGGGAAGCCTTTTAATACAATCAGCCCAAATACCAAAATGTGGGAGAAATTGACACAATCATTGTAAGTGCATAAAAGTTAAAAATAATTGAAACATCTGATATGTATTTCCAAACAGATTCAAAAAACCAGCAAACCAGCATTCCAATACTTGTTGGAAGTTTCGGCGCAACATACTTTAAGGAAAAACAAGTCTGGAATTCCAACGATTACCAAGTTATTCGACCTACAAATAAAATTATTTATTTCGATTTATATTTGAAAGCCATACATACATTTTTATCTCCCTTCGATTTTGTTCGTGAGATATTTTGAGAGGAAAACCCCAAATCTAACTTTCTTATGATGCCTACTTTTTCTCTTTCTCCATTTAATTCCGCGCGGAATTTTCTTTACGATTGGGAAAGGAATTATTTTTGACGATTAGGCTGAATAAGAACTAAGAAGGGACCTAATTATAGTATTAAATGAATATTGCAGACAAACATCCATGAATGCCATGCTGGATTTGTTTTACACCCCAAATTGTCCCAACATTAAGTTCCGAAAGCAAAAGTAATATTTTAAACGGATTACGAATTAACAAACGATCATCATATGTGACTTTCAACGCGTTCCATGCCAGAGCAAAACTGCGGTTCGTTAAATTTAAAAACAATTTGCCGAGCTCCACCTACAGTTTTTCGCAACAAATTAAGAAATACTCAATATCATCGATTTAAATTTTTAATATACAACGCGCTAAAAAGAAATCTAAGCTTGGTAACATAAGAAAATCGCCTCGAAGACATCTGTATCAATTGTAGAATTCGGAGAATCAACAATGAAACTAGAATTACATCTATGATTCCCAATACCTGCCATTGGGGGCTATCAGCCTGATTACCTACATTCCTAGCAGTGTGAGTAGACGTTGGCGCAAAAACAATACTCATTAGAATACCAAAACGAAAGTTCAATGTTGTAACATTAAGGAGAGTGCAGTTTTCTAATGAGTATGCAAATCAGTGGCAATGAACATGTCCGTTCAAAGAATGCATTTCCTAATAATACATATAAAAGCGACTCATATCTACACAACGGTTCTATTGTCAGAAATTGATTACAATGGGGCATCACATAATATAATAATTTTTTCAACCACCAATATCAAAACTGCAGCTCCTGTTTTTTCATACAAAATAAGATGAGCGTGCAAAAACTTCCGCTTGTTAAATCATTCGCTTGCGAATGTCCAAAATAAGGATGATAGATTGCTTGTGCATCTACCTTATTAGATGTAACATGCCACAAATATAAAACAAAAAAAAAAACAAAAAATATTGTCGCATTATTTTTAAAATTATTTGAAAATGAATTAAAAAATACAATGGACAGATTGTATGTATATTGGTGTTTTTATTATTTTGTTCAGATGGATAAATTAATGATTACAAATTAGTATAATGAAAGTCGTTACAATTCGTCAAATTTGTAGTGAATAATTGTTACAAATAAATAAATTAAATTATTGAATTTCTCAATATTCATAAGAATTTAACTTGCAGGAAATTAAGTAGAAAACAATTCAATATACCATAAACAGGGTTTCTAAAAATAAAATGTTTGCTTGGATTTTTTAACATAGTAAGGGAAAAATCTATTACAAAGTTTGTCGTAAATTTCATATAATACCGACCAAAAACTACTGCTTGTTATTTCAGTTTCGACACTTATTTCAGCTACGAGAAACGATTGATAGTTTTTGTCAGACATTTCGATGAAGCTCGATACCTGTCTGTCAACATTTTTCCCAACGTGTGTGATCTTGAACGACATGTCAAATAACATAGAATTTATTACCACTTCATAAAAATTTGTTTCGATGCTTGATAGGCATCTCCTCGCGAATCCGTTGGATACATTTTGCGCTGATAATTGAATGGGATTTCAACCAAATTATATATATCGTTGGTAATAATATTTGAGTTGAATGTTTGGTTTTTATATAGGCAGTAACTTAAGTAATCCAAAAACAATTTCCATCGAGGATAAAATAAATCTTGGATTACACCCGACCATTGCTTGGTTGCGTAATCTACTATTTCTCCATGTGGGCCCCATAGAGTTATTTGGTTGCGAGCGTTAAATTCCAGTATATGTTTTTCTTTTGCATTAACTGACCAACTATGAGAACCCTCAATCCACTTTCCGAGTAAAAAAGCTTTATTTGTTGATAAAATATGTTCCACATCCAATAAGATTGATATCATGAGTTTTTTTAAAATGTCAAACGTATCATACTCTTTTCTTTTAAATGCATTTATCATATTGATATATATTTGGGCAAACTTCACCTGAAGAAATTGCCTGGTAATATCGACTAAATCATGTTCATATTCATAGCGATAACCACAAGGAATTGAATAACTGGATTGAAGTAAGTTTGACCATGCATTGTAAATATCTGAAACGTTGTACCACATAGGATCAATAAGATGTAGAGATGGACGCCTAGCAATTAAATATTTGCCATGAAGTTTTTTCTTGCCATTATAGGAGTACACCGAAGTTCTTAAAAGCTGCCATGCTCTTCGCAGATTTTTATTTGCAACGCCATACCTTACATCAGAATAAAGAGTAAACCATGTTGTTAGGTTAAATTCATTCTTTTCCCAAGCTCTTTCCAAAGCGAGAGCGTACATAACATAATTTTGGTTAATGCCCTCTGGTGTTATGCCCACCCCGACCATATTTCCGTTTGCTTCTAAGCGAGCTATACCAATGTTCTTGTTTACTTTTTCAGATGAACCATGCATCCCCAAAGTTCCTCCAAAATTGTGTAACATGCACCAGATAAAAGAGTGTCCATAAAAAAATTCCGTTCTTTCATACTGTGGAAACTGTTCACTTTGTAAGTCCAATACTAGCATACCACCTTTTGGCACTGCCGTTAAAAATGCCTTTGTTTGTGATTTTTCCCAAAATGTATAATTAAGGAACATCCAACTTTGTAGTAGCCAAACCGCACGGCGATCAACAGCACGCATTGAATTGTATATAAATTTAGCTGTCATTTTTAAATAGGCCGGGTCGGAACTTTCGGGCTGCATTTCATTAAATGGGTCGGCAAAATAAATGTGGTCCGTGCCGTAAACAGATATAGTTTTTTTTAAAAATAAATCTGAAATTTTGCGAAATAAAGGATCAAACGATTTAACAAATAAAGAGCAACAGTAATCATTTTTAAACTTATTCCAAGGCGCAGCTCTAACAAACGAAGCATTTGGAAAAATTCGTTTCATTGCTTCAGGAACGTAGCCGGAAAAAGCAGGTATTGCTACTTTCATTCCAAACGCCCTCTGTCTTCTAATAATATTTTGTTGTAAATACATTTGCATTTTGCGGAAGTACGATGGCATTGGTCCTGCCCATCCGTGGATATTACCCATTCGTAACCTAGAAATAAATCGGTTTAAGGATGTAAATATAATTAGATTTTTTACAGATGTAATATATGACAATACACCTAAGTCTGTTTTTACACGGTCTTTTTGTACACGGTTTTGATATAACACGGTTTGAAAATTAAATATATTTTTTAAACGATTTTATTCCATTTAGCACGATTTGAAATTTTATGTACTTAATTTTTTTGTCAAATTTAATTTTGCGAAGTATGTTCATATCACAAAAAAGTATTTATGAAAGAAAAAAGTCTGAAACCATCGATAGTTTGCGAACACTAGCTTAAAGATTTAAGTGAATTCCCCTTTAGCGCGTACAAACAATTTTTACTGGTCAAAGCAAATGTGAATAGCACTAATTTAGGGGAATTCCCTTTATGTATAAGATCAATGTCTTTTTTACACGGCTTCTTCTGGAACCAATCTACCGTGTAAAAACAGACTTAGGTGTATATACTAAACTTCAATTTAATGAATTATTCAAGCGTTTTTATATGTAGAACGATGGGAAATGCTACATGGCTATCACAGCAAGGAACATACGTTCAATCAAATCCAGAATACGAATAAGTGAAAAAACATAGCCCCCATTGTGTGCAAAAAGGTAATGCTTTGAAAACACCTTTTTTGGCGAGGTGAAATCACTATTTTTAAAATGTGCAATAATAGCGAAAGGCATTCCTCTAGAAGAGCGAAAATCATTCCTCAAAACTTGTATTTTAAATCGTCGGCATTCCTTTCCAAAGAATTTATTGAATAAGTGAGTTGTCTAGAAAATGCTAAACGCATATTAACACATATTCATAATTCTGTGAATTTTATTAGTTTTTTGTTTGATGTGCAACAGGCGTTGCATTTTAATACATGCCAGTGCAGGTCTCTGCCAAAAGCAACCACAAAGTGCACTTGCCACTGTCGTCATCATTGACTTTTAATTGACTTTAATTTCACCGACATTGCAACCAACACTGATCCTCGTTTTCCTGAGTACCACCACCGTTGTAGACAGCTTTTGGTGATCGTGGAATAACCACCAGTTGAACACGAACATGTATTTGTTGATGACATATGTGAGAGGTTAAACTTCTACATAGGTGATCTTGTTAATTTCATCCATCTGAAGAATATGAAAATATCCGCCACAAAATCAACAGCCACACTGTTCATCACATGGACGGCCGAAATGAAGCGTCCACTGAACATAATGGTCGATGGAAAACTAATTGCGACCACCAACTACCCCAAGATACTGGGAGTACGCCTTTTCAAGTCGTCTGCCCAAGCCACTGCTTTATGCGATAAGCTGAGAAGTAGGAACAAGGTCATCAAGTCGCAACCCGGCAGAACTTGGGGCGCTGACAAAGAAACCTTGTTGACCTCTTATAAAGCAATAGGCCGGTAAGTGGTAAGCTATGCGGCGCCAGTGTGGTCCAGATCTTCCAGAATGCTGCCCTGAGGACTGCAACAGGGTTTCTCCTCATGACTCCTATGGACCATCTTCATGAGAAACGAAGATCTTACCCGTCCATCGACACAATTACATGTCGATTCAGAGCCTGCTTGGTTGCTATCGTCGGGAACACCCCTGCCATAATCTCATGGACAGAATTCCCCCGCTCAGGTACGTCAGGAAATATCTAGAGAGGGGTCCAAAGGTTTAAGCGTAAACCCCTATATCAAGAAACCTATAAAGCAGGTCTGAATGGTATTCACACGGACGCAGTCGCTCAGGCAGTAGATCAATATCGCGTGAATACCACAATCGGAGACTACCCCATCCATCGTAGCAGAGGAGAAACAACTGCAAAGACAAACACGAGTAGTCTTAGCTATAAGTATGTTAAAAGTAGTTATTCCAGAATTTTACCAATTATAGTAATTTTAAAAATCTTTTAAGAATTAATTGCTATTATTACCCATATAAAATATTGGTATTGGGAACTAATATTTAAGTATTTTTTTATTAATAATTTAAAACGACGAAAATAATGTTCGGCCCAGCCGAGCTTTTTATACCCTCCACAATGAAGATGACATTCAAAATATGTGAAATTAATGTGGCCCCTAAAAGAAAACTGTGATGATAGGACATTGCATATAACGGAAAAGACGTGAGAAAAATATGATTACCTAATAGTGAAATTTGGCTAATGAGAATACAATTACAGCCAATACTGTTGTAAAACGTTTTAAAATTTTCTAAAATGCCGACTTGGGTCAAGTCAAAGATGCGGGGTACCGTTCAATGTGGTTACCAGTGTTGCCAATTTAACACTTTTAGTGCTAGATTTAGCACTTTCCGAACTCATTTAGCACCAGAAAAATCCTTCTAGCATCTAGCACTTTTTTAGATTTTTATTTTTTGCTGGAATTTTTTACAAGTTTCGATATTACATCAACAAAAATTCAGCGAAGTATACAACTCCTAGTGTGATAACAACACTACCAAACTCTGTGGACATTTTAGTATAACTCCTATGCACTAGCAATTTTCCCGCATTAAACATATAATTCATGAAATAACATATTCGCCATCCAGTGTGGTAATAGAAATACTAACAGAGTTTAATTTAGATTTGTATAAAAATAATACTTTTTATTGACCCCTGTTGTGATCTTTAATTATTAGTTAAAATGTATGTGCTACGGTTTATTGCAACCTTGGGTTAGCGCTTTTGACGTTTTAAGCATCAAGGAGTACCATACTGTCATTCGGATAGCCAACACGCATATCGTTGCGCACAGGCATATCGTTGCCAAAGGTAATATTGTTTACCACCAATCAACTAACAATAAACCATTGAATATTACATTGGAAAGTATTGTGTTTTATTATCTTCTTTTATTTTCCGGCACACGGCTTACGTACACCCCCTCCCCTACAGTCCACTGCTCGACGCATTCGGCGTACCGACTCCCATCGGCGGAGCCACTCTGAGCTAAAAAACAGTATTAGATTTTTATTAAATTTTTATGTATAGCTTCACACCGAATACACGTATCAATATGTTTAGTATTCTGAATACACTGTCATCATCTCCGGTCTAAGTTCCTCTGCATTAAATACATATTTTGTTCATAAATGGGACCTCTAGAGTGACTAGAAAATAAAAATAAATGTTTTAAGAAGATTTAAATTTTATCCGATATTTACCAAAATATAGGTGCCTTCGCTGGTCAGAACAGTAGTTTTTCGACAAAATTCTTAAGGGTTGGTCCATAATGTGGCCTGTACTTTGTTTACAAATTTTTAAAATTTTTTGAAACAAAATCTAGCATTTTGGCTCCATACGGTTTTGACAACATTGGTGGCTACACTAAAACTTGGTTCAATACAAATAATTTTTAACAAAAAGATGTGCTATACAATGAGAACCCAAAATACCACACTACAGGCAATTCGGTTGAAAAACATGTCCAAAATTACCTAAATACCGAATATTGGGTAGAACCGTTATATGGAACCGCACTAGCAAATATGAGCAAAATTTCAGAGCTCTATCTTAAATATATTATATAATTTTATTCTGATCAAGAATATATACGGAATGATAAATTTACTATACACTCCACGTTACAATAATTACTGAAATAACTTATTATTAAAATTTAATAATCGATCGAATAAATTACTTTAGTTTTTTTAGAAATTGATTATTATAATAAATAGAATATAATCTATAAAAAAAAATAATTCTGAAATTCTGATAATTTTCAATAATAATTGACATTGATAATTATTAATAAAAAAAACTTTATACCCAAATTTTCTTGTAACAAATCGAAGTACTTAGCTATCCAACTCAGCTATTTATAGCTTCTTTATATAATAAACCCTTTATGCCCAATTTGTTTGCCTATTTCACTCAAACTAATTTTCTTTTATTCCCTTTTGTGCTATTTTCATTTGTTTTCTATTTTGTTCATATTATTGCATAGAAATTTCAAATTCATGTAATTTAGTTGTCTATGTACCTTCAAATAATCTTGTTGATCTAACAACTATCGTTTTATTTTTCGCAACTGTCTGCAAATACTTTCGCAGGCTCAAACAATAACTTAAAATCGATTTTTAATCAAATGAAAAATAATAATTGATACTTATCAAAAATTACAGATTTATTATCAATTATTAAAATGATAGCCGAAAAATTAACTGTCAAAATTGATAACTAAAGTATTATATATATTTTATCCTTGTATAAAAATTATCTTGAGTCCTTGAAAAATATTTTTAGAATTTCAATAAACAAATCTAACGGAATGTTAGTATGTTATTTGATTGTGTCCCATTTGTCCTTTATATTGTTCATTGCCAAATTCAGTCTTTCATCATGGTCAATATGTTGGTTGTTTTTTCTGGATTTAAAATCCACCGCGTAGTTTTAAATATTGTGGATATATATTTCGATAATTCATAAGTTGGTGAATTTATAAGGAAACATATAGGCCGCAATGGTGTTCATTCTTTATGAATTTTTGGTAGTCCGTAAATTTTAGGGGGTACAGACGTTTTATTTGTCATCTTGTTTTTTGAAAGTCAGTAATAATAAGTGCATATAGTTTCAAAATTAATTTCTTCCATTTTTCTTGTATTTTTGATGTTGGGTCCTTGTTTATTCTTTTTAAGATTCACACATCCAAAAGATTTGCATTCATTTTATATTCAAAGTCACATTTTTCTATAGCTATTGTCTTTCCGCCCTTATCAGAATTGAGTATTAAAATGTTTTTATTTTCCCTTAGAAACTATGTTGTTTGTCTCACTGTATTTTATATAAAACGATTTCACTTTCCTGCTTTACTGCTTCTCATGTGATCATTTATGAGAGTAACTAAATTTTCTCTTTCATTTTCCTGTTGTTCCTTATTACCTAATGTCTGGATCAGTGGTCGGCAACATATGCATTTGTTTGGTCACCCAGACACAAAGTGTGCGAGAGTAACTTTCGCTCTCTAGACAAACTTCGTCTGCAATAATATATTACTACG